AAATTTGAGATATTTAACTAAATTACAATAACAGATAAATTATCTTTATTTTAAAATTTATACATAACTATTAGAATGGTTAAAATTTTTTTTTTAATTATAAAGATGTAGCACCTGCACTTAGACTTTATTTAATACTTAAATGATTGACATATGATGGTGCCGATACATATACATATTACATAAAGTACTAAGACTAGGACATCAGGTATACAAACTATTTATCCATGGCTAAAGCCCACCAGAGCTGACTGTATTCCCACTAAACAGCTGACCTGGATTTATATATCCCTCTCCAACTGCTAATCAGTATTCACATGTCCGCCGCATTACCCACAAACCATTTATTTTCAATTCCCAAATTGGTGTGTACCAGGTAGACACTTATTGCTTCTGGTTTGGTGTGTCTGTCAGAGGGATTTTCTTTCTCAATCCCTACTTAGCATACTTCCAGGAGTTTGTATCTCAAGCCATGAAGCTGCCTCTACCTGAACAGGTAAGTATCTCAAGCCTGCATGCTACTGTAACTAGCTAGTTTTTTGTAACTTTCAGGACCCAGGTCTTAACATATCCAATTAGGTCTGTGCTAACAACTGTACTTTCCAATATAGTGACGAGGCTGCTCAGGCATGTTTCGCAAATACTTTCAGTAATCAGTAAAGTTAAATAGTATCATGAGGCTCAGAGGTAACAGATGCGACATCATTTCTTTTTATGGTGATTCTCAGCAGTTGTAGCCTCCAGTTACTACTGCATGCATTATATCAGATATATCTATATTGGTGGTTCTGAGTCCTCTTAATGCCAAAGCTCCTATATGGGTACGACCAGAGCCTGTTAGGTCTATTAACATGTACATGCCTCAATGCTTCAACTTCTTATTGGCCAGTGAGTTCTGTATGTACCAGAGATATTCCAATCTAGTAAGGCCAATTCTTTACTACAGGTCACTTTGTGTTCACCACATTTCTCACCACTTTCCAATTCTGGTTACCGCCCGGTCATCCTCCCAAACAAGATTCCCAATGCCGCCTTAGGGGTTGTTGGTGCTACCTTGCCAATCGTGGATTTACACGCACAACTTTTGTGTAATAGAACCTTCTGTAATGACCACCATTACACATAGTACCAACTACTCCACAATGGACCTCTTTTCAAAAATTCCTAATCCAGACTTGTATTCACTTGGACTTCCCATAGCAGATACTTCCAAATATTTGTAGGTAAACGTATCTACCAGGACTTAAACCCGAAATCTGCTCATGGAGGGTTGGGTGCCTAGACCACTAGGCCACAGGATCTCAACCTCTTAGAACAGTTAAAATTACATATCTGATAATTAAATATTATTATAAAAAATATATTAAGTCCAATTGAACTTATAAAGTCCAATTCAAATTTATTAGCCCTTTTAGCCCTATGTCCAATTAGCCATATCTAATTAGACATGTCCAATAACAATACTACATTCTTAGCATAGAATACTTCCTTTTCAAAGAGACAGTCCTAATATACTAGAGTTATAGGATCTGCCTCAGTTCGTATAGCCAAATCCTTGGCTTCTTGCTCTGTTAATAATAATTTATCTATCAGATCATCTAGCAAAGACCCTTCTAAAGCTAGCATATATGAATTCATAGCCATTTCATTTATGCCTTTTTTGCTAACTCTCTTATATTTAGACTTTGTGGTCTTGTCTGCTAAAACATAGTAATATAATTTGGCCTGAATATGATAAGATTTTGTAATCACATTGCCTGAAGTCTCAACTTTGAAAAGCCCAATAGTTTTAGAATCATTAAGGTCAAAAATCTTAGATTGCTCTGCTATGTCCTTATAGATATCTTCAGTCTCAACTTGAAATATAAATGAGTCGATATCTATATATCCAAGCTGGGCGTTATTACTACATCTCTCTTTTACATACTCATACTAGAAGTAGTATATCAAAAGTTTGCTAAGATCTAGAACTGATACTTTGACAATGATGGGCTTATTAAGAGTTATACTAGCCTTTTCCATATATGCCCTACAAGTGTATTTCCAAGCTGTCTAATATATTTAAAAGAGGGTTTACAAATTTGTTTATTAAACTTCTTTTTATCTTGCTTATTATTCATAGCCATAAGCTTAATGTCTTAGTATTTGTGAATATTTTGCTATATACTGAGTTATTTATGAGCTTAAAGAAATCTTTCTTAAAAGTATTTTTAACACCTTGTTGCTTTTTTGTATTAAAGACTATATAAGAAGCAAGCCGGTTAGTTTGGTCAAATAATAGGATTTCTGTAATCTCATCAACTATTATACTTAATTTTACATAGTATTGGAGCTTTTGGTAATAAATAATATAATTCTTTTATAAGCCAAGATGGGGTACTAATTTTTTTGTTGCTAAAAACTATTCACTATCCAAGTTATTTACAAGCTCTGTAGTATAAGAGTACAACATATCTTTACTTATGACCATATTCTCTACTGCTAGAGGTAAATCACTCAAATAGTTATGAGTTTTTAAAGAAAAGTATGTCTTAATATTTAGATAATATCCTTTTTTAGTATCTGCTTCAGTATTAAGAATCTTTTCAAAATATTTTTTTTGCTCGTTTGGATTGTCTTTAAGATATTTATAACTTAGCTCTCAATTATAATTTTCAATAGGCAGATACTAACTTATGGCCTAGCCATAAAAATTATTTGTATCAACATATGAAATCCATGATGTGAGCTTGGATGAATTAAATATATTATCTATTTTAGAATTATTAGCCTTGAAATATCATTTACATGCTATAGCTATGCCCTCACACTTGGCTTTTTCAATAAAATCATATATAGCTATATCTGTGAAGAGCTTAATCTTAACTCTAATCATTTTAATCATAGCATCCCAAGCTAGTGCAAGTGCAGATATGTAATGGCTAGAATCACGTTCATAATATTGTATACATGTCTTTCAAAATTGAGTTCAGATATCAGCAAGGCTAAGTACGTTAGTTTTAAAATAGAAATTATGATACTCATCTAGATTCTGGCATCTAAATTCTTTTCATACTTTTTGGGCATGCTTATAATCTTTTTGGCTAATTGTAGCATGAAGATATGTACTAAATTCATAAATTGGTGGAAGCTTAGTCTCTAGAAATTTATCTTGTAAATTGATATATTCATGGGGATAAACTTCTTTGTGATATACTAGAGAAATTTGATCTGAAGAATAGTCTTTAAAGTGCTAACTTGTAATAGGGTTGTTGGTACCTAAATTTTTTGTAAGATTTGCCAAACTATTATTTATAAATTGCATGCTATCTATATATTTAAGCTGATCTACTTTTATAGACTTGTATTGTTTAAATGTTTCAGCTATAACTCTGATTTGGTAAACATTAACTAATTTTTCAACAGATTTACAAACTAAGTGAAAGTTGTAGCCCCGGAAGTTATAAAATATAACTGGAATTGGTGTTTTCTATACTTTGATCTGGAGTTTGAGATTATAGATATTGTGAGCGGGTCATCAAAACTTACCTGTTATATGACAGTAATCCCAGACCTTATTATCTATAGCAAGCTTTTTTTTTACATATCCAATAGATATCTGCTTTGGCAAATTTTTCTTGTCTTTCTCAGTTTTAATTCGGTTATGTTTAATAGCTAAAATCTTATTAATTTCAATTAACTCCTTATTGATTCTTTGGACAAATTCTTGTATAGCATTTTTTTTTCAGTATAGAAAAAGTCTTTATTTATTCCCAGCATCGATCCAATAAACTAGATAACAAAAGCTATTGGCTTTTTGCTCAGCAAGTTTTTGCATTTGTCCTCTATATTCTTTATTATATTTTTTGTTGTCTACTTCAAAATCTGCTATAATTACACATGGAGCATTAATAATTTGGCTATAATTTTTAAACTTTTCAAAATCGTTAACTCCTTTGGTGGGTAAAATAACTCTTTGAGTAGCTTCTCCCAATCCTAGACAATGCTCTTGATAATAGGCTAAAGATTTTCTAACTAAAACCTTTGAAAGTATTGGTTACATAAATACTTTTTAACTTTGTTAGCATTATCTTTATAAACCAATTCATTAGGATTTTTAATCCAAAAAAAGTAATTTTTTTGCCTATACTTATCATTTTCAGATTTGGTAATATCTGTAAGAGCTATAAGATATATAATATGTTGTATATTATAATTCTTGCTAGCTATTATTAGTTTGGGAGTTGCTGATTCTTTTTTTCACTCTCAGATATTAATAGAAATATCAGGATTTATCTTTTTAATCTTATTAAATATTTGTAAACAGATTGGTATAGGCATAGAGATGTTATCAAGCTTAACATTATCTAAGTATTTTTGAAAGCTTTTTGCTCTATAAATTCATCTTCCAAGTGGTCTGTAACTTCATTCTTATCTGCAAAATAACATCCTAATGCATCTTTGAGACAGTTATTTGTGAGCTTTTCTATAGCTGAATCTATAATGTTTGAATTGTCTGGATTAATAGTATACTTTGTATTAGAAAGCTTTTTAGAAGTAAAAATATAGGAACCTCCATTATCTCAACAAAAGATATAGGTTTCGATAAATATCATTTCTAATCTAAGAAGAATTTTACCAGACTCTTCTTTTAAGTATCTCTCAATTTTTTCATCAATTTCTCTAGCAAATCTAGTTATATAGTCATCTATATCATTTTCTGAAAGTAATACATACAGGTTTCCTCTATAATATAGATGATGATAACTTGTATCATAGTTTTTTATATTAGTAGAATCACCAATTCCTTTATATTTATATTTTATATATAAGGTATATATAACTAATACTGATTTTATTTGTTCCTTTTTACAAAACTTTTTTTTGAAGATGTCTGTAATTGCACTTCGTGTTAAAGCTATAAGTTGGAGCATATAAGGCACATCTGCATATTCTGTCTGATTGTCTAGATATTTATTAAAAGTATATGCAAAATTTTTGTTTGATAGTATTATATCTTTTTATACTGTTATAGGCTTAAGATTTTGGTGTCCTCTATTAAGATCTGGTCTTCTTTCTAAAAATTCTATATTTGTTGAGGGTGGCTCTTCTTCTATAACTCCTGTTTTTGTTTTAAAAATTAATTAAAAATATTTTTTAGAAGCATAGTTTACCGCTTGGTCTATATTAGGCTGAAAGATAGTTTGCTTTTCTCTATAGATTTGGGTTGCAGGGCCTGGACTGGCTCTCTCTTGAACAACCACTTGGGCTTTAATCTGCATAGTAAAGAGTTGTAATTTGCATTTAATCTTTCTTTTAAAATAAGATTCTTAATCACAAGTCTTTTTAAAGTTATCTTTACTGCATCAAGGACATGGTGGTATTATTTTTAAATATATATGTATAGTTTCAGTTGTTTGTATTAATAGTACAAAAACTTTTGTTTAAAATAAATTATTTATTTAGGTGGGTATATTCTTGAGTTAGTATTAATATTACAAAACCTTTTGTTTAATATTTTTTTTATACCCAGGTGTTGCTTTTCCAGAGTTTGTACTAATACTATGAAATCTTTTGTTTAAAATAAAATATTTATTTTTATTATTATAGTAGGTGAATACTTTTGCATCTATTTACTTAAAACTGGTGATATCTATAGATGAACCTAAAGAGTGACATGAATATTGAAGGGCTAAAAAGCATTTTCCTTGTAAAATATGTAGTATGTCGACTAGCTTTGAGCCCAGCCTTTGTAAAAAGCATGCTAGCAGATATTATAAAACAAATATATTAATAGATTTCAGAAAAAGGCTTAGGAGCTTCAACTTTATAAAAATTGTTTGGGTTAAATTTTAACATCTAGTCCGAAAAATTTACACCTAACCCAGATTTTTTTACACATAGCCTGATTTTTTTTACACCTAGCCTGAATTTTTTTTACACCTAATCTGTTTTTTTATATACCTATTCCAAAAATTTATACCTAAAAGTGTAAAATTTTGACCTTTGCTAGATAGTGTTAAATTACTTCTTGAATTAATTCTAGAATAATATAGAAAATAGTCCTCAAACTTGAGGCACAAAGTGTAAAAGAGAGACAACATCTAAATATAATAGTAGATCTACTAAAAAGGCCAGAACTGCTAAAACTGCCGCAACTGCCTCAACTTCACGAACATCCGCCAGAACCTTATTAAGCTCTGTTTCTGTACATATTTCTCACACCCATTCACATAACTCCGAAACAGAAACACATATACCGCAAGTAATTTCATCATCCTGTCAACTACCACCACCACAAGATACCAAAACATTAAAACCTAAAAATCCTCAAACAGAAGATGCTGAGCATCTAGAAGAAGAAGAACAACAACAACAAAATTAAAAAATTTACATAATAATTATACAATTCTGAATATTTTCTATTTTTTTTCTATAATCTTTTATATCTTCTTTTTTCTATTTTATATTTTTTATTATTTTTTATTATCTTTATATATATATTATTTTTCTATTTTATATTTATTATTATTTTTTATTATCTTTATATATATATTATTTATTATTATATTATTATATTTATACCAGGAATAGAGTGATATACAATATCACAAAGTATATAGTCTACTGTGGCATTTTTAGTGATGTGTTCACAAAATCTCATATCTGATTGGGCAATGTGCTAAATGCAGTAAAAACGTGAATATTTGTGCTTAAACATTACGAAATGTATCACGTACCACTATATTTATATCTTGTAGGAGTTAGGAGTTACTATATGAACGTATCTTTAACAGGTTTTGTCTCAATTAAAGTGCATGATGATCATTTATAAAAATGTACTTGTTGTTTATTATTGTCTTTCAGAATTTACTAACCAAATGTGGATTTTTTAGCACAAAAGTTTTGAATTTAATCTGGTAAAAACTAAAATCAGTCCACATGACACTTTCTTCATTACATAATAATAATGTCATGAGAAAAATTCTGATGTGGTTGAATAATGCTATGCATTTTTAATATATATAGTATATATGATATTTGTTTAATCATAACGAATGTTTAATTTGTATTTTTATTACTTTAATAGTTTTTGTCTTAATTGAAGTGAATGACAATCAATTCTTTTTTTTTATTATTGTCCTTTGAAATAGAACTAACCAAATTAATAGCTTATTCCGAAGCCGGTTTTAGCTGCACAATAGAGCCAAGTCGACAAAGCTGACTTAAACTATGACTAAGCATTAGCTTTAGGTTAAACCATCTTTCTCTACTATTTAATTCTGGGTTTGTACGCTTTAATGTTTTTGATTGGCCTATTCAAAAAAAACCATGATCAAGGGTGGAATTTTTGGTTTGTACACTTAACCGCTTTTGATTGGCTATATCAAAAAAAAAATTGTAATCAGAATTTGGGAAAAACTCTGGAATATGATCAATTGTTTAAAGTTACTTATTAAAGTTACTTACCATTCTGATTATGGTATTCTGAATTAGTTATTTTCTGATTATTATTGTTTTCTGATTTTGAATTAAAGTTACTTCCAGAGTACAACCATCTTCATTATATAATTCAGGATTTGTATGCTTCTATCTATACCATTAAATTATGATATTGTCATATGGTCAACATTTGGCAATTGCTATAATTGAAATTAAGTTACAAGCTCTTGCACAGAACTATCAAACGCGATAATTATTTTATTAATATATTTTTTCTAAGTTTGTAATATTATTATTGCGGTTTGTATAATTTTATGACCCTATTATTAATTTTTTTTGATTAAATGATTTTGATTGCCATCATGATTGCTAAAGCCGGCCAATTTATCATAAATCAGAGCTTGATACTAACTCAGATTCATGATAAATTGGCTGGCTTTAGTAATTACAATAGCAATCACAATCATTTATCATATTTATAGAGGTCACGAATTATACAAACTGCAATAATTGTTTGTACTTAAAAAAGTGATTAAACATGTGAAAACCTCAAATCTAAACATGTACAGTATGATTATACAGTATTGGTATGATTAAGAATGGCATAACTTTTGAGATTCTATTTTGGGTTTAAATGTAATTAGAAAATGTTGTAATGATCGTATCCGAATTCCAAATTGCAATAGTCGTATGAAAATTAGGAATTGGTTTACCGGCTTTATGAAAGCCCATTACGTATTTCATTTTGGAGCTATAGTTTTATGAATGCTTGCTTGCATTGTTTGCGTGATTAAATATACATGTAATATATGATTTATCGGCTATGCCAAAGAGGCCGAAAGCGATTGTTGATCACATGATCTGGACATTTTTTTGCCAGGACTTAAAAATTAGAAATTTCTCAAAATTTTATAATATTGCGTAACCTTTTAGCACTAATAGCTGAATTATAGAAATTTGATCATATATAGCTGCATTTCATGCATTATGTGAACTTATATGTCTTTGCTATTCTTAGGATACACTAATAATAGTAAGTTCTGTAATGGAATTTATTACAGTAATTCGTGTTAAAAATCACAGTAATTTCAATACAAAATTAATTTACCTTGACTACATACTATGTCTCACTGGAGTAGTGAATTCTTAAACAGGATATTTTACTGCAACTCATGATGAAAATTATGATAATTCTCAATGCAAACTAACTCACCACATATTATAGTAACTGGAGTGGCGAGTAAATTTTATAACAGAATTTTTTACAGCAACTCATGACAAAAATTATAATACTAACTTACTCAAACTACAAACTATTATTACTGGAATATCAAGTTTTACTGTAGCACATGATAGAAGTAATGATGCAAAATTAACTTGACCTTAACTACATAGCATGTAGATAAGGTTGAATTGGCATAACTTAAGAAAACTTTCTATCTGAATTATTATAATTTTTATATGAAACCCGCCATTCCAATAATCAAAGATGTGGTGAGTTAGTTTGTATTGGAATAATCAAATTTTCATTATGAGTTGCTAAAAATATTCTGCTAAAGAATTCATTATTCTAGTGAGGCATAGTATGTTTGACTAGAATAGCAAATCTTGTAACAGATAGGATATTTTACAGAAATTTGATAGAAGTTATAACAAATCCAATACAAATTAACTAACTACATTTTTGATTATTGGAATGGCGAATGAGTTTTGAACAGAATTTCTTACAACAACTCATGACTATTCCAATACTAACTCACACTAGAATAGCAAGTAAATTTTACTTTAGTTTATGACAAGAATCAGGATAATTCTAAAAACAAACTTAAAACATATTTTGATTATCAGAATAGCAAGTTTCATAACAGAATTTTTTACAGCAATGAACAATGTCTTAAAAAATTTCTGTGAAGGAGGCATGGGCAGAATGCTAGTAATTATTGAAGCCACAGCTTGTGTTATGACTAGAGCATGACTTGGCCATGATGGTAAATAATATCAATAAGCTTTGCATTAAATATTATTACATTGCTACAGTAATAATGATTTTAAAGCAATATAGTATTTGAAGAAGCCAGACAAGTGTTAATAGCTTTAAAAATCTTTAATAGGTTAAAATTGTTCTACAAAATTTTTTGTCATATAATGTCAGTTTTCACATAATATTTCAATTAAGTATTTCTTATTTACTCAATTAAATATTATTAATTAATATACATATTAATTAATTTCTTATTTCAATTTTATTCATATGATTTAAAGTTTTCTCAAACACCAATTTTTAATTGGTGAAAAGTAATTTAACCAGTAGGTAGGTTCATTATTGCAATAAAAAAAAAAATTTGAAGCTATGTTTTTTTGTCAAACTTCAGCAAAATTACGGTAAGGATTGCTTCAATTAATAATTGTATACAGTAATACTTATGAATGATCTCGATAAGCTATCTAATCATATTGAGCAATCTTAGTTTAAATTTAGTAATTATTCATTGAACTAATTGGTCTAAGTATTTAATATGAGATGTTCACATTTCATTTAGTTTATTATCCACATTACACAGGTTGAATCAATGAATATTGGATGCATACTGGAAGACAAGTTTCCTAATATGTACCTGATAGTCTGCTATAGATCTACCAAATACTTGCTGAATATTAACTGCATTTTGGCAGTGTATTGGGAGGTAGATCGATATCGGTTACATAACTGAACAATATTGGGATATCCTGATATTTTACTTTTAGGCTCAGAGTGCTAAGAGTAAGATATCTAAGTACTGTATTCTTAAATAAGCACTCACCTTTTGTAATTTTCATATCCAAGTTTCTCATTATCTAG